CTGGTGTTGGCCATAAAAATATTAAAGAGGCACGGTTCCCGAAGCCAATGAAATTTGATCCCAGCCAAAGAGATCTTAACATATGGTGCGAATACCGCGGGACAAATGGTTATCATGCTGGGAACTGTCGGCATCTGCGTGAAGAGGTGATGACATTGCTGAAAAATGGCCATCTCAGGGAATTTTTAAGTGACCAAGCTAATAATAACTACGATCGTAATCGTGATAATGCATAGCCTTCAAAAGTAGGAAAAGATCCACCGCGCTTGACGATCAACATGATTTTTCGGGGAATGAGATTAACGGGGTTACATTCTCGGCGGCAAAAAAAATGAAGGTGTCAGTAACCCATAGCAAGAGACTTCGGGAAGTTGTTGAAGACGACATTACTTTCACGGAAGAAGATGCAGATGGATTGCTGCTACCACACAATGATCTATTGGTAATCTTTTTAAATGTCTTAGATTTTAAAATTAAACGTGTGCTTGTAGATCTAGGATGTTTGGGCTAACATCATACAATGGAGGGTATTGGAGCAAGCCAAGCTCACTGGAAGTATTATTCCGGACACAAAACTCCTCGCCAGCTTCTACTTAGCAAGTGTGATGACCCGAAGAGAAATCCTTCTACCTACGAATGCCGAAGGGGTGATGAAGACGACCCTTTTTGAGGTGGTGGATGGTGATATGGGCTACAATATTATCTTTGGTAGACTGTGGTTGCACGAGATGAAGTTTGTACCATCGACATATCACCAGTTGCTGGAATTCCCAACTCCCAAAGGAATTAAACAAATAAGAGGCGGCCAACTGACGGCAAGGGAGATGAATGCAATCTCAGTCTCCAGTAGCAAAAGGAAGGAGCATGCGACATAGCAATTACATGAACTGGTGCATGTTCCCGAGTGGATGGTGATATGGGCTACAATAGTATCCTGGGTAGACTGTGGTTGCACGAGATGAAGGTTGTGCCATCGATATATCACCAATTTTTGAAATTCCCAACTCCCAAGGGAACTAAAAAAATAAGAGGTAACCAACCGGAAGCAAGGGAGATGAATGCAATCTCAGCCTCCAGTAGCAAAGGGAAGGAGCATGTGGCATAGCAATTATAGGAATCGGCGCTTGTTCCCGAGTCAAGCAAAGTCAACCAGGGGGAAGAGTCGTCGGAATCCTATCAGGTGCCAAGGTATTTCCAGGTACCTGAAGAGAATGACGCAACAGAGTCCACAACGGAAGAACTTGAGCAAGTCGCATTATTTAAAAAGTTCTTGGAGAGGAAATTCCACTTGGGGACAGGACTACACCCTGAACTCAGGTCTTTATTTATTGAATTTCTCAAATTTAATGTCGATTGTTTTGCACGGTCGCATGCGGATATGACAGATATCCCGCCGGAAGTGGTCGTACACAAGCTAAGCTTGGATCCCAGCATCCCTACGGTAAGACAAAAAAATGTCATATTGCCGAGGCTAGAAATAAATTCGTTAAAGAAGAGGTAACTCGCTTGCTTGATATCGGTTCAATCCGAGAGGTAAAGTATCCCAACTGGCTAGATAACGTAGGAGTAGTTCCAAAGAAGAATAATAAATTTTGCATGTGTGTAGACTATAAGGACTAAAATAAGGTGTGCTTAAAAGAATCGTTCATATTGCCAAACATTGATCAAATGATTGATTCAATGGCTGGGAATGAGTTAATGAGTTTCCTCGATGCTTATTACGGGTACAACCAAATTTAGAAGAACCCGGAGGATCCGGAAAAAACATCGTTCATAACGAACTTCGGCACATATGCTATAATGTGATGCCCTTCGGCCTAAAGAACGCCCGAGCCACTTGTCAACGGCTCATGAACAAAATGTTTGAAAAGCAAATAGGGAAAACCATGGAAGTTTATATAGACGATATGCTTGTTAAGTCTTTGAACGCAGGTGTTCATCTTAAACACTTGCCGAAACTTTTGATATCTTAAGGAAGCATAACATGAAGCTTAACCCCGAGAAATGTGCGTTTGGGGTCAGCTCCGACATGTTCCTAGGATTCCTGGTGTCATAAAGGGGGATTGAGATTAACCCCGATAAAATCAAAGCTATTGAAGATATCCCTGACCAGTTATTAAGCGTAAAGGAGGTTGAAAGGCTAACAGGGAGATTGGCCGCTTTGAGTAGATTTATTTTCGTTCTTCAGAGAAATGCTATCATTTCTTCTCGCTTCTCAAAAAGAAGAAGAACTTCAAATGAACCCCTGAAAGTCAGCAGGCTTTGAGGGATTTGAAAAAGTATTCTTCAAGTCCTCCAATACTATCAAAGTAGAGGAAGGCCAAAAACCTGTTAGCAGTCTCGGAGTTAGCGGTAAATGCCTTAGTCCGTGATGAGGAAGGTACGTAGTCTCCTATTTATTACAGTAGTAGAATTTTAATGCGAGCAAAAACTCACTATCCGCATCTAGAGAAGTTAGTCTTAGCCCCCGTAGCCCCCGCTCGAAAGCTAAGGCCTTATTTCCAATGTCACCAGATAACTGTGGTGACCAGCTTTCCCCCGCAGAATATCCTTCATAAACCCGAACTTTTGGGTAAGATGTCCAAGTGGGCCGTCGAAATAAGTAAATTTGACATAAAACATAAATCTAGGACTGCGATTAAGTCACACGTTTTGGCCGACTTTGTGGCCGATTTCAGTCCGGCACTGTTACCTTTCGCAACTAAAGATGCAGTGATGGTGCCAGAATCGACATTAGGAGTTTGGATCCTACTCATGGACGGAGCTTCGAACATAAAGAGGTCCGGGCTCGGTATAGTACTAACCACGCCTTCGGGAGAAACCCTAAGGAAGGTCATAAGAACAGTTCCTCTGACTAATAATGAAGCTGAGTATGAAGTTTTGATTGCAGTGCTTGAATTGGCTCAGGGATTGAACCCCGAGGTCATAGAAATCAAATATGACTCTCAGTTGGTGGTAATCAGGTCTACGGGATCTTCGAAGCCAAAGAGGAACGCATGCAACAATACGTAGTGAAGGTTCTGGGAGTGTTCAATTACACATATCCCGAGGGAAGAAAATGCGGAAGCGGACGCACTAGCTAACCTTGGCTCATCTACGGAAATGAAAGGATCGAACTCTGGTATGGTCGTACAGCTTATGTACTCGATTCTAGACACAGATAGATAGACGCTGCTAATTTGGTCTAGGATTGGAGGAATGAGATCATTGATTATCTCGAGCACATAAAGTTGCCTGAAGATCCCAAGGCATCTCGGGCGCTACGCACTAAGGCATCACGATATAGTTTCAAAGGAGGTTAATTGAACAAAAATCTTTCCAAGTGACGCTGGCCCAATATTTCGAAGCCTCTAAAGCTAACTATGTTATGCGAGAAGTCCACGAAAGGA